TGTCCCCTTGTCCCCACTGTGATGGTCAGCGGTCATCTCCAGCTGCAGATTCGGGAGGTGGGACCCCTGTGAGGTGCTCAGCGCAGGGCCTGGCATGCAGTAGGCGCTCACGGGTACCTGCCGCGCGAAGGGATGGACGGTCCGGCCGAGAGCGGCCGCTCTGTGAGCCTCAGTTCCCGCCCGCATGAGACCCTGGGGGAGACAGTCCTGCTGTCCTCAGAGGCTACCCCCAACATAGTGCCTGGTATACAGTGGGTGCCAAATCAAGGTGGCTGTGATTCGGGCTGTCGCTATACTTCTCGGGGCGCTTTGGACACGGCCTCCCTCCACCCTGTCACAGTTGGCTCAGCGGGAGCCAGGCCCTGGGCTGGGTGACAGGGTCAGCTGGGACCCCGGAGGGTTCTGTCCAGGGTCATTCCTCCCCGCGCAGCCTTCTCCGGGGTCCTGCTGAGTCTGGCCAACCCCACGGGGGTGCCGGCATCTGCTGACGCGTAGGGGGTTTGGACAGGGTGACATAGGGATTGCTCCTGGGGGATCCGGGTGCTGGGGGCCCAGCCGGGGACGGGGATGATACATCCGTGTCCTGGAGGGGCCGCGGTCCGGGCACTGGGCAGGGGAAGGAGGCCCTGGGGAGCAGACAGAGCCTACGGGGTGCAGGGTGGTCCTCTCTGGGGAGTCCCAGCAGTGGGGCTGAGGTGTCAGGAGGCCCGCGGTCACGGGGACTCGGGGTCGATCCCAGCGGGGCTCCTTCTGGCTGGGTGGCTTCCGTGCCCAGTGCCTCGGTCTCTCCCTGCGAAAAGCGGGTACGAGGTCGGCCCTGTGTTGTGGGGTTGATTGCTTGAGACGCGTGCAGCCTGTAGCCGGGTGGCCCCGCTCCCGGGCTCTCTCCGCACCTGGCCGCCTGGCTCAGCCCCCGCCGTGTCCCTGGCACAGAAGGCACAGAGAGGGAAGGCAGGAGATCCAGGGTTCAGACTCCCCGGTCACTGGAGCAGGAAGTTTCCACCCCCACTACTCGGGGTGCCCAGATTCCTCCCAGAGGCCCCCAAGACCCTGCACAGGCAGCCCCCGGCACCTCCCTGCCCTCCCCCACCCCCCTCCTCATTCGTTCCGTTTCAGCCACACCGACCTCTTCACTCTTATCACAAACCTGAGCTATGGTGCTGCCTCCGGGCCTTGGCACATGCTGTCCTCACTCTCTGGAAAGCTCCAACGCTGGCCTGGCATTTTTTTAGATCTTTTTTTCAAATGTCCTCTCCCACGAAAGACCCCACCCCACCTCCACCGCCGCCGGGACCACTGTCAGCTAAGAAACAACCCCCTGGGCATTTCCCTGGCCCTCCCCAAATGCCTTGAAATTTTTTCAGGGCACTTTGTTCAGATTGACATTTTATTATGCATTGTGCCGGCTTGTTTAACGTCCATCCCTGCCCCAGGTTAGGATCCACGCGGGGACTGAGCCCGGGTCACTGCTGGATCCATAGCACCATGCACGGGGCTGGCATACAGCAGGCACTCCATATATGTTTGTTGAACGATCACACGGATCTCGCCCTCGTGACCTGGGGTCATGCCTACGCTGTGCTGCTCTGAGCGTGAGGGGAGGGATGATCTGAGCTTGGGGACACCCCCTCTGGTGCCAGGTGGACCCGGCTTTGACCAGGAGCTCTGCCCTTCGCCCCTTAATGCTGGCCTTAATGTAGAGGAAAAGACGTCGGAACCAGGGCTTTGCAGGATGCGTAAGAGTTCGGGATCCGCATTTAGGTGGTTCAGGCAGTGCCCGGTAACGCTTGGCGAGCTGCTGAGTGACTGAGGGAGAGAGACTCCTTCCTGGAAATCTTGTGGTTGGTGGACGGGAGCGTCGTGGCCCCAGCCAGCCACCAGCCAGGGCTTGGACCCAGGTGTCCACCTCCCAGCTGCTGACCTCCTGGGCCAGGAAATCCCAGCGGGCCGAGCGGAGTTTCTGGGAAAGGCCTGGCCTTGCTTGGCCTGCCCCCGACATTGCCTCCCCGGTTACCAGGAACAGACAACCCCACCCCCCCGCCCCGGGACACACCCGACAGCTGCAGGATCCCATCCCGCCGGGTGTACAGGATGAGAAACCGAGGCCCAAAGCAGAGCCTCGGTTTGTTCTGAGGCCAGATGGAAGGTGAAAATGGAGGCCCTTTGCCACCCAGCCTCATCCCCTTGTAGAGTCTGCTTGGCAAACGCGTGCTTCGGCCCCCGGTCTCAGTCTCGGGGTTGGGGGTTGGGGGGTAGCAGTAGAGCTGGACTCAGAAGCCCGGCCTGTGTGGTCCAGGCGAGGTCTGCGGGAATCCCTAAGGAGAGCACGGAAGGCTGCCCGAAGGAGAAGGAATGTGGGGACAGGGCTTTGAGGGATGTGTAGGAGTTCGGGAGGAATCTCCGCCTCTGGCCCGCCTGGACTGCCTCCTTCGCCTGTCAAGTGGGGGTGGGGCGAGGTGCCTGGGAAAGATGCCTCGGATGTTGCAGGTCCCGTGGGACAAAGAGTAACAGGCCTGCCTCTCACCTGACCTGACCCCCTGGGGAGGACGAGGGAGGATAGGGCAGCAGGTCCGTGACCCAGTTACAGACTGTTTGTCTTCCTTCCTCCCGGACCAGCTGGGGTCACTGGTGACGTGGGCTCCCGCCCCTGTCCGCCTCCCTGGCACCTCTCTGGAGAGTGGGCCCCCCGGGGGTGTGTAGGGCCCCCAGAAAGGGGAGGCGCGCGGGGATCCGTCAGCCTGCCCCACCGGCCCGCATTCCAGCTGCCCCTTCCCAGCTCCCTCTTATCGCTACCCCAGTAAGCGCCGGTTTGGGTGGCAGCCACGGCTCTATGTCAACACCACTGCTTGGCCTCCTGCCACCCTGGCCTCCCCTCTGCTGGGGGCAGCGACCTGGGCCTCTATCGATTCCCTACCCCTGGTCCTCCGGCCGGGCAGCCTGGGCTCTGGTCCCAGCTCTGCTGAGCGGCCGTGTGACCCTGGGTGAGTCACTCCCTGACTCTGGGGCCGTCAGGTGGGCCTCAGGCGCAGAAGCCCCGCCAACGACCATGACCACAACCATGAGCACGGGCGACAGGGAGCGACAGGGAGCGGGACCGGGATGCACCCCCCGCCTCTCCCCCTGCCTCAGTGGGTCAGCCGGGGTGGGGGTGGGGAGTGGGCCGCGGAAGAGAGCCCTGAGGTCCAGCCCCTGCCGCAGCTGTTCTGGTGACTCACGCTTTGGGGGACATCAGAGTGGGGAGCGGGCTGGCATGAGCCGAGCCCCATCCGCCCCACCCGGGCGAGGGCGGGAGGCTATTTTCAGAGCCTCAGTAATAGGTGAAATCTGAGGTCATCTCCCTCCCCCCCCAGCGCCCCAGGGCCCGGCCAGGGGTGTACAGAGCAGGGAGGGCACATGCTGGGGGCTCCGGGGACAGTCCTGGCCTGGTGGTGGGCCCGAGCCGGGCCACGTCCAACCTGAAGGCAAACGGAGAGCCCGGAGCAGCCGCCTCCCCGGGACCCCAGGCTGTTCTGGGAAAGTGGCGGCGGCCTCCGCACGGGGCTTGGGGGCCTGGGCTGGGGTCCTCACGAGGCCCTGAGACCCTGGGGGACCCAGGGCGGGTGTCCGCTCCTCTCCGGGCCTCAGGTCCCCTCGCTCGATGGGTAGCTGCGGCCTGTGGAGGGGCTCACGTCCCTGGAAGCCCACGGCCCAGGCCACAGGTGGAGTCCCGGAGCCTCAGGGTTTCTCCTCTCTGCCTCCTTTCTCCTGGACGCTGAGAAGCCAGGCCCCAGGGGTTCTGCAGACTCAGTTTCCCTTGATGAAACCTGGAGAGGGTGGGACCGCCATCCCACCGGACAGAAGGGGTCAGGGGCCTCCCACGACCCAGCCAGCGCTGCTGTTGTTTTCACGGGAACGGTCCATGCCCCCCATGAGTAGGGCGCCTCTTGGGGCCTTGGTTTCTTCATCCGTAAAACAGGTGTTGGTGTCTCCCAGCAACGCTGGTTAGGCAAGATGTGTGGGGGGTGTTGAAGTCACAGGTCTGGTCAGGCCTCGCTTTCTCCATCTGAATGGGTCTGTGGGGGGCAGGGTCATGGGGTGAATGGGCGCTTCCGGGGGCCCCTCTCTCCAGCTCTGAACCTCCGTGGCCCAGCTCCCCTTCTCTTGCTCTCTCAGCCCCTACGGTGGGTCCATGCAGGAGCCCTCCCACCCCGGCTGCCCTAGTGTCGCCCCATGGACCTCCGCCGGTCTGTCTCTACAGCTGGTCTCTACGAATGACCCCTAGACCTCATTGTTTTGTTTTGTTTTTTAATTTAAGGGGCCAGTAGAGGCAGCCCTGAGGACGCCCCCCCCCCCCGCCCCCGAATCCAGTGTCAGCTTTCTTTGCTGATGGTGACACTGTCTGAGCCTGGTTTCTGCTGCAGTCGTTGAGCACCTGCTGTATGCTTGGCCCTGCTCTGGACATTGGAGCTCAGACTGCAGTTCAGGAGTTTGCAGACAACAGGACTGGGGCCCAGCACCCGCCACCACCTGTTTTTGTAAATAAAGTTTTATCGGCACTCAGCCATGCCCATGGCTTGCGCGTCACGTCTAGGGCTAACTGGGGGCCACCGTGCACAGTTGGGTAGCTGCAAGGGACTAGGATGCTCGCTGTCTCCTTCTTTAGGGCACTTGCAGACTGGGGTTTGCAGACCCCCGTCCTGGTGGACAAACAGTAGGTCCGTAACCTCTCCATTCTCCCGACCTCAGTTTTCCCCGACTGTACAGCGGGTCAGCTCCCATAGGACCTCTGGGGACCCTCCGCTTGCCCTGTGTGTTGGGGTTCAGGACGGTCCTTCAGGCACTTCTGCTGGGTCCCCTCTGGCCTTGAGTTTTCCCCAGGAGGTGACCAGGTCAGCAGCGGCCCCCATGCGCCTGGCCCTCCCCGCGGGTCTTCCTGGAGCCCCCCTGCCTCAGTCTCCCGGCGGGGCAGAGGGCCCACGGTCCCCCGGCGCCTCCTGACCTCTGGCCTCTCGTGCCCACAGGATGAGTTCCACCCGTTCATCGAGGCGCTGCTGCCTCACGTCCGCGCCTTCGCCTACACCTGGTTCAACCTGCAGGCGCGGAAGCGCAAATACTTCAAGAAGCATGAGAAGCGGATGTCGAAGGACGAGGAGCGCGCGGTGAAGGACGAGCTGCTGGGCGAGAAGGCCGAGGTGAAGCAGAAGTGGGCATCCCGGCTGCTGGCCAAGCTGCGCAAAGACATCCGGCCCGAGTGCCGCGAGGACTTCGTGCTGGCCATCACCGGCAAGAAGGCGCCGGGCTGCGTGCTCTCCAACCCCGACCAGAAGGGCAAGATGCGCCGCATCGACTGCCTGCGCCAGGCCGACAAGGTGTGGCGGCTGGACCTGGTCATGGTCATCCTCTTCAAGGGCATCCCGCTGGAGAGCACCGACGGCGAGCGCCTGGTCAAGGCGGCGCAGTGCGGCCACCCGGTGCTCTGCGTGCAGCCGCATCACATCGGCGTGGCGGTCAAGGAGCTCGACCTCTACCTGGCCTACTTCGTGCGCGAGCGAGGTGAGGGTGCGGCGGTGGGCGCCCAGGGGCGGGGGGCAGGTGTGTGCTGAGGGAGGCTGCCCACTGGCGTCGTCCCCTGGGGAGGCCTGTGCACGGAGGGACAGCAGGTGCCGTGGGAGGCGGCGTGTCCAGGGCCGTGGAGGGTGAGAGACAGGCCCATGAGATCTCGGGAGATGAGACCCTGTCCCAGAACGTCTAAGGGGCAGCATAAGTCCTTGTTGGGACAGTGGTGAGGACAGGACGGTGACCAACTGAGAGGCAGCCCTATGGCACCAGGGAAAGCTGGCAGAGTGCCCGCGTTGCACGCTGTGGATGCTAGTTGATTGACTCTCAGACCTTCAGCAGAGGCCTGACAGGTCCCACGTTTGTGCCGCGGGGGAGGCTGCCTGCTGTGTGACTTTGGCTAGGTTTCCACCCGCCCTGGTCCCCTGTGTCCCCGGCTCTGGCCGTCCTAGAGGGTGTTTGCTGGCTGCCTGGTCAGATGCCCCCCTGGGGACCAGCAGGGTCTGGGGGACGGGGAGCCCTGGCCGCTTCCTGGAGGGAGTGCTATGGCAGACGTGAGCTCTGCGGGGTGACTGTGGGGGCGGCGGGGGTGTCCCAGAGGGTCAGCAGCCTGGGCAAAGATGTGGAGGCTGGATGTCAGCAGGGCTGGTGGCCAAGGGCAGGGCCTGGCCGGGAGGGTGGTGGGATCTGTCACCCTGCTGCCCCTGGCTGTGTGGCCAGCCTGGGCCTCAGTTTCCCCCATCTGTCAAGTGGCGGCCACCTGAGTCTGAAGCTGGAGTAGGCCACAGGGGATTGGCCGGATCACGCATGTGGCGTGTGAACCCTGGCCTGCCACGTGGCAGGTGTCAGCTGGGAAGGTCTTCATGCGGACACAGTCAAGTGTGCTCGTGGAACCCAAGGGTCACGCGTGCCCCAGGTCTCCGGAAGGGCGGAGTCTAGTTCACACCTGGGTAGCTCAGGCTGCAAACCAGCCCCAGAGACCCCGCAGGAACACGACCCCACGGGAGCATGCGCCTGGGTTGCGGAGGAGGTGGCACCACCAGAGACAGACGGGAGGCGGCCGGGGGAGAGGTGGGGGCATGAAGCGGGGACAGATGGGGGGCCACTGCCCTTTGTGGGCTGTGTGACTTTGGACGCATCACTGCCCCGTGCCTGTCCCCTCTGGAAGGCGTGGAAACGACCGCGCTGCCCTGGCCAGGCCAGGCTGGAAGGATCAGACCAGCTTGTGCGGGGCTCCCGGTCCCTGGGGTGTGTGGGAGGGAGACTGCAGGGCAGTTTCCCAGTCTCGACCTTGACTCCTTGACCTTGACCCCTCCTGCCCCCGCCCCCACCCTCGGAGGCCCAGGATGCCAGAGGGGTGGACGCCACCGGGGTGACGGCCTGTCCCCGGCGGGGGGCGGGGGTGGCCTTGGGGCTGAGGGCGCATTGCCATGCGGGGCCAGGCCTCTCCCACCACATCCATCCTCCGAGCCTGGCCCTGCCCCCACCTCCTCCGCGCTGAGCTGATAAAATTTTGAAGCGAGTTTTCTGCCAGTGTCAGCACAATCTGCAGGCGCCTCCCCTCCCCCAGCCGCCCCCTCCCCCCTGGGCTCAGCAGGCAGGCCCGGCCTCCAGGCTTCCCCAGACACCTTCGTGTCCGGCCCGCCCTGCCTTCCCCACCGATGGGCGATGGGCCTCGGGGCTGGGGCAGATCAGAGCGGTCCGGCCGGCCGTGCTCCCAGTGCCCCTCATGCCCTGCTCCAGCTGCCCCCCCCCCCAGCCGCAGCTGCAGCCCCCGGGAGTGAGGCTAAGGCTCCGTCCAAGGCCAGCTCAGCGCTTGCCCGCAGGGCCACCCCAGACAAGTCACCTAACCTCTCTGTGCCTCCTTTCCTTGTCCTTAAGGCGGGAAGCTCAGGATAGCCACCTGGTTGGGTCCTCGTGGTGAGTGCTCCGCAGACAGCCCCCCTGTAGGGGGACGTGGGGGGACCGGCTGGCGGGGAGGGCTCCGCTGGCCGCTGTTCTTACCACCCCCCCATCCATACCATCCTCATCCTGCTTAGTTACCATTTACCAATTCCACGCCTTTGCCTTGCTGCGCCCCGGGGAGCACACGGAAAGCTCCTGCGTAGGCTTCAGCACCCCAGCTCCTAAGTCCCCTTTCTCTCTGCCGGGCACTTTTCCTGAGCGCCTCGAAGTTCTTTCCGGTTCTCTCAGCAGCCCTACAAGGGCGGGGTCACTGTCGTACTCCTCCCGCCGCAGATGAGCAAACAGGCCCAGCGCAGGGCCCTGGCTGCCCAAGGCCCCACTGCCGGGGAGGGTGGGGGGCAGAGGGGGATGTGGGTGCAGGGAGCTGCTGTGGAGGACGGCCCCCAGCCCTCCGCCCCGGACGGTGGGAGAGGATGGAGGTAAATCGTGCGCTCCAAAGCCACTACCCGGGCAGCGTGTTTGGCACGTCGGGGTTGGGGCCGGGTTCTAGGCTCCCGAGGCCCCGGGGCCGCCCTCCAGGACCCCCAACCTTGTTCCAGGCCCAGTGAAGTCTCTGTTCTTGGTGAGGCAGGTCTCGGTACGACAGTGGAGAGAGCTGGCCGCCCCCTGACCACAGCACGGCGCCCCCTTCACCCAGCCCTGCCGGGAGCCATGGACTGGATGGGGAGGCAGGGGACAGGCCTCTGGGAGTGGGTGCAGGTGGATGTTGGGGTGGGGCCCCCCTGCAGCTGCAAGGGCACCACCTCCGACCTGGCAGCCCCAGCCCGTGCGTCTCTGCTGGACAGGGGTGCCCCCGCCCTCCATCCTCAGGTTTATTTGAGCGGGGGAGGGGGGTGAGCTCTGAGAAGGTGCCCTCACCACTGCGGCTGCACTGCGGCCCGGTCAGAGCCGGGGGTGCCTCCTGGGACTAAATCTGGTGCTTCTGGGTGTCCCTCTGGGACCAGAGGGCCCTGATTCCAGGGGCAGCACTCGGTGTTGCCCTGGGGGCCGCCTAGGGCACAGCTGGGGGGACCGTGAGGAGGGGGCAATGCGAGCTCTACTTTGGGGCTATCGGGGGACTGTCTGCTGAAAGGCTGTGTTGGGTGGGGTGCAACTGAGGGGGGGACCCGGAAACCACCAGGTCACAGTTCAGTGAATAAGAACAAGGGCAGGAAAAGAAAGCAGGGGCAGGGTGTGGGGCACTCCAGACCCAGGAGTTGGGGGGGGGGGCGCCCAGGGATGCGCCTGAAGGAAGTTTGGGAGCCACAGAGGGATTTGTGTGAGTGCACGGTGGGGGGGGGCACAGCCAGTGCAAAGGCCCAGAGGCCAGCACCCCGGAGCCTGAGAAGCAGGGCAGGAAGGCCCCGGGGGACTGTGGCGGGGAGGCCAGGCCCACTGCGCCGCATGGCTTCCGGGGAGGCCCGGAGCGGGGAGCCCGCCACTCCTCCACCTGCCCGGCACTTGGGAGGGAGCCTGCAGGAACCGGGGCCCAGAGAGGGAAGCCGCCGGCCCAGCCCTGAAGCCCGGCCAGGCCTCCCTGCCCCCTCTGGCGGCCCGAGAAACCTGAGGCGCGGGCGGGCGCCGTGCCAGGGCCGGGCGGGGGAGGGGTGCCAGGCCCGCCCACCCCGGCAGCTGCCAGCCCGCCCCGAGCCGCCAGCCCAGATGGTGCCCATCTGCTGACGCTGCCGCGGGCCGGCCTCCCGTTCCCGCCTTGTGCGGTGCCAACCTCCCGGGGTGGCGCTGCGGGCCGGGGCCAGGCTTGGGAGGCTTGCAGCTGCTGGAGGGGCTCCCAGGGCGCCCCCGGAGGGTCCCCCCCCCACGGGAGCGGGAAGCGGCAGTAGCGACGGGTATTAGTAACGGCGAACACGTGTCATGTGGGCCCAACACCGGGTGCCTGCTCCTGGGCTCACCCCATGTTCTCGCTCGTGGACCCCTCTCCACCACCCCGAAAGCGGGGGACTGCTACCTTGTCCCCGGGTTCGGGTAAGGAAAGGGCCCAGAGAGCGCCAGCCGCCTGCCCAGGGCCACACAGCCCCAGAGAGGCAGAGCAGAGTTAGAAGCCGCAGGATCCTGAGTCCTCCGAAGCTGGAAAAGGCAAAAAACTGGAAAGCACTTTGGAGGTTATCCCCTCCCGGTTTGTGCAGCCGATAAAAAGAGGAGGTGCTGGGTACAGGGCGAATAAATGAATGAGTAGCGGTGAGCCGCGTTGAAGAGCCCAGTGTGACCAAGCCTGGGGGCTGGGGTCACCATAAAGCACACCCTGGGTTCGGGTGCAGGAGAAGGGGCCTCAGTGTGGAGCAAGGGGGCCCGGGTCAGCTGTGTGACCGAGGGCAGAGCCCTGCCCTCTCTGGCCTGTGGGGGAGGCGGGCGGAGCTGAGGGCAGGAAGGTAGGGCCTTGTGGGGCACAGAGAGGAGCAAGCGGGCTCGTGACTGAGGGTCCCCCTGCCTCCAACCCCGTTAATCTCCATCCCAGCACTGGGCCCTTGGGAGACAAGGGGTGGGCAGGAGGGTGTGAGGTCACCCATTTATCTGCGTGACGGACAGAGTGTGTCCGTGAGATGCATTCCCCTGTGAAGCCTTGGTTTTCCCATCTGTAAATGGGGAGCGTGAGAACTGTGTCCACCGCACTGAGGACCAGAGTCAGCGATCCCCAGAACGCATACAGGAAGCGCAAAATAAATGCCCAGTCCCTTCCTGGATGCTCTCCCCAGCCCGAGGCGACAGTGGGAGGGCGCCTCAGTGGCGCTCTGAGACCACGGGCCTTCTTCCCGCCCAGTGAGCCCACAGGGACACCTGTGACCCGGGACGGGCTTGTCCACTGGCAGCCGGCCGGCCGCCCTCTCCAGGTGTCTGGCGGTGGAGGGGTGAGGGGCTGCTGGCGGCCGGAGCGCCCCCAGGGCCGGGCAGCCAGGTGTACGCCGTCTGTCTGTGCAGGGAAGGTGGCTGCACGGCTGTGAGGCCCAGACGCCAGCTGACGGTGTATTTATAGCGATGGCAGGCCTCCAGGCTCACGGTCAGCGGCAAAGACAGAGCGACAGGTGAGGGTTGTGCTC